ACAATAGAAGAGTCGACATGTGATTCCAAAAACTGAATTTGGATTTGTTTTGGAGTTTTGCATTGTCCACAATAGAAAAATCGACATGTGATTCCGAAAACTGAATTTGAAATTTCTGTGGCCCTCTAAAGAGGCCGACGGAAGTTGGGGAGTTCTGTATTGTCCACAATAGAAAAGTCGACATGTGATTCCAAAAACTGAATCGAACATGTCTGTGGCTAAGGAGGCCGACGGACGGACGGGGAATCGTTCGCGCCCGCGAGGGCACACATCATCATCATCATCATCATCAGCATCATCATCATCATCGCCATCATCATCAGGGTCAGTATTCATCATCATTCAGGTGGGCCGAAGGCTATTAGATGATCAAACAGAAGCGTCAAGAATTCGACAGTATGTGCTCGTCCTCGGGGGGGGCAGGGACAGAGAGAAAGAACACGACGCGACGACGATGGAGCGGCGACGGCGGCGGCGGCGGCTGTTTCGGCCGCGCTCCCCTGCTGGTCGTTTCGGCCGGCGGCGGCGGCGGCGGCGGTGGCGGCGGCGAGACGTCGACGGCAACGGGGGCGCGGTGCGAGTGGGGACTGCCCGGCGGTGCGCCGTTAGTGACCCTCGCACCGTTGCTCCCCGGCCCCGCGCACGGCGCGGAGAGTGCCCCTTGTTGGATGAGGGTCTCTCTCTCGTCCCTTTCCTTTTCGAGGCGTGTTCGTGATTCACCTGCGCGCTCTCGGCACTGTCCTCACTGTCCCCCTCCCGAACAACTTCACCATGATGTCTCCTTCCTCCCTCCGCCATCGTCCTGATTCCATTCATCGGCATTCGTGCCTCCGCCACTTCCGTCTGCGCCTCCTCCGCTTTCTCCTCGCCGTCGTCCGAAGATGCCCGCTCTGACGTCCGAGGATGCCCGCTTCTTCTGCGCCTCCCCCGCTCTGACGTCCGAGGATGCCTTCCTACATTTCACTGACGTTTCCAGGCCTCCAGAGGCCTTTGCTGCCGGGGGCCTCCAGGGACATCCAGGGACATCCGGCGACCTCCAGGGACCCAAAAAAACAAAAAAAAAAAAAAAAAAAAAAAAAAAAAACCCCCCTCGAGGAGCCCCCGCTTCTTCGCGCTCTCCCCCGCTCTGACGTTCCGAGGATGCTTCCTTCCATTTCTCTGAGTTTTCCAGGCCTCCAGAGGCCTGTTGCGGCGTGGCCTCAGGGACATCCAGGGGACATCCCGGGACCTCCAGGGACCTCCAGGAGACCTCCAGCTGCGCGGGGCAATGATATATATATATATATATATATTAATATATATATATATATATATATATATATATATATATATATATCAACAGCGCCCTTCTTCAGCCAGCGCGGCGGCGCTCGAGCCTCGGCCCTGGCGGATCGAGATTTTGGGAGTTCTGGCTTTCGGAGGGGGGCCTCCTCGTCGTCGCCCCAGCTGGACGCAGCCCGAAACGACGGTCATGGGGGGGCACGGCCGAAACAGCTTTTAAGCTCACGAACGGCGGGGGAGAGCCAGCAACCCCCCAGGGGGAAGAAGAAAAGGGGGAAAGAGGGCGGGCAGCACGTTGCACCGTAACAAACAGCCATTTTGGCTGAGTGCTGGGAGCGGGCTCCGCTCCTCCTGTCCTCTCCCCACACAGCAGCGGCCAGCATCGGCCGCCGACCGCCGCCGCCGCTGCCATGCCCGTGCTGGGCGTCGACGTGGGGGGCGTCGCGTCTGGGGAGGGCGACGACGGCCAGGGTGGTCGTCTGGAAGGTTCTGCCAGGTGTGCAAGCGCATGGCGCACTCGGAGGCGGCGCCGCGGCGGCCTGGCGGTGGCGCCCAGCCCGCCGCCAGATTCGCCGCGGCGCCTCCGCGGGGCGCGCCATGAGCCTGCGCGCCCCCAAAGGCGATGACATCTATATGGCTGTGGAGCACGGGTTCTGGCCTTTTGCGGTTCTCTATGCGGCTGAGTTCGGCCTGCGTGACTTCCACTTCATCAGTCGCACTAACCGTGGCACGTGGCATTCTCGCCATCATAGGTTGGGCCAGGTGGAGGCTTGGGTCGTGCGGCTGATCAGGAGCACAGGTCTGTTCGAGATGGGGCTAAGGCAGATGAACGTCCACCTGACCAAGCAGAAGAGCGGGCCTGATGGGAAAGGCGCTAAGTGCGCTGACGACCGCGTGGTCTTGACGCACATGATCGACAACGACCTCGAGTGCCTGTGGAGCGTCATCCACGAGGCTGGCCAGCAGCAGGCCAACACCATCAACGCCGTCATCCAGTACACGGGCGTCAGGGCCGCTGGGTCTAAGTGGGACCCCGACGACGACGACTTGCTGCTCAGGATGAGCACGTTCTGGGAGGTGGCTGGCGCATTATTGTTATTGGAGGGGGCGTCAGGGTGGGTATGTGTTTTGTAGCTCGGTGATCTTCATCGTCGTCGTCGTCGTCGTCGTCGTCGTCTGTCGTTGTCGTTCGTTTGTCGTTCTTCGTCGTTGTCGGGGATTCCCCTCTTCTTTTTTGGAGCCCCCTCAGTAATAATAACAATCCGCTAGCCCATGGAAGGTCGCGGACTACTTCGGCCTGCCGAACATGGACATCTGGGACCAGCTGGCGCAGCTCGGGCCGCCTCATCGCCCCGCGCCGACCGACAAGACGCCAGAGCAGTTGATCGAGCAGTGCCGGCGCCGCTCCAGCAGGGTGCGCCGTCGCCCGCCGACGGAGGAGCTCGACGACGACGGCGACATCATCGACGGCGACGACGACAATCGCCCAGATGGTGCTGGCGGTCGCCCCCGAGGAGGCGGAGGAGGCGGGCGGCCCGTGACGCCGCCGAGGAGGTCGGCGGCGTCCACTCCACCGCCGAGGAAGGCAGCGCCGAAGCTGCTGGTGGCCAAGAAGGCGGCGTCGCCGCCGTTGGTGCCGCCGCCGACCCACCTCGCCGCCGCGCCGCCCGCCAGGGGGTCGGTGGCCGCCGCCTCGGCTGCATCGGCCCAGACTGCGAAGGCGGCGGCGGCGACGGCGATCCCGCTGCAGCCTCAGCAGCCGAAGGTGCCTCCTCGTCCTGGGCGCTACGCCATGGCGACGCCGCCGCCGACGCCAGGGCGCCCGTCGTCGTCGGCTGCGGGCGCAGCAGCGCCGGCAGCGACGATGACGCAGCAGGAGCTCCAGCATCAGGTCGAGATGCTGCAGGCGCAAATGAACACCCTGATCGCCTTGCAGATGTCGCCCGGGGCTGCTTCGGCGTCGTCGTCAGGAGCTGCTGCAGCGGCAGCCGCGTCTCCTCCTCCTCCTGAGCCTGGGGCTGCATCGGCCGGGGGGGAGGAGTGGCAGGGCTGGCAATCGGCCACGCAGCATTCGAGGGCCTGGAATCTGAAGAAGTTAGCTCGAGCACGGGCCTTCGGAGCTGGCGCGAGGCCTACAGGAGTCCGCACGGCGCCTGCGATAACCATGTGCGCCCAGTGCAACAGCAATCAGCCTGGCGCATACTGCGTTAGGTTTGCGTGCAGGGTGTGCTGCCAGAGGTTGCAGGAGTCGAACCCAGACACTATTTGCGAGCAGCACCGTGCTTGAAACAAGCACTGCCGCGTCGTGTGCTCGACCAGCGAGCGCCCCTGTAATTTTGCGACCTGGACGCGCGTCAACAACGTGACGACTGCGCGGTCGCCGTATAGTCAGGGGGGTGCACGCTATTCTTCGCTATAAGTGCGCAAGTTACGACGAGACGACTGCTGAGATCGGCGCTCGACCCGTCCGTGGAAAAATCATCATCGCCATCATCAGACATCAGAGGGCGATGAATGAATGAGGATGGCGAATGAGGAGGAGGAGGAGGAGGAGGCGGAGGAGGAGGAGGAGGAGGAGGAAGAGGAGGAGGAGGAGGGAGGAGGAGGAGGAGGGAGGAAGCGAGGGAGGAGGACCCCAGAGGGAGAGTAGGCAACAGCAGCAGGAGGAGGCTGAGGGCCGTTGAGAGGAGGGATACGCCGAGTGCAAGATCCAGGGGTTGGAGGAGCCCGTGCCTGAAGGGGGGAGAGAGAAGAGGGTTGGGAGGCAGAGCGATCCCTCCCCCCATGGGAGAAAATGAAGCGACCGAGCAGCACATCGGGGAGATGGCAGCGACTTTCACGGACGAGGGCGGAAGGGGGGGCACCCGCCGGAAGCCAGAAAAACAGCTCGAGACGCGCCCCCCCTTCACGCTGGAGCGACCAGCAGCGGCCCCATACCAGCTGCGGAGCGGGCCTCGAGCCAATGCGGCATGCTCCTCACGAGGTGCCCCCCAAACACACGATCCGTGCCTCATAAGTACCGTCGATGCGCCTTCCTCCGCGAGAGCTTCACATGGGTGTGGGTTTGTGTATGTTTTTTTTTTTATTGGCCACGCCCATCTTCTTTGTCTGCATGTGATTTGCGTCAGCTGCGCCTCCAAGAGAGCTTTCTGAGTTCTTAGTTACTTCGGGATGGGCCTGAACATCTGGGCCACGTCAGATTCTGCCTCTGGAACGCTTTCGGGACAACAAGTGGCCCATGTGGGTTGGGCATGTCGATTGGTCCGCGCACTCCTTCCATGGTCGGTCTGCTCTGGAACTTGGAACCCTGCCCCGTCTCAATTTCTACCACTTTGGCTGTTTCGGCCGAAGGCCAGGCCGGCTGCGTCGGCCGGATCCTGACGGCCGTTTCGGCCAACTCTTCTTTCTTGCCGTCGTCGCGTTCGTCGTCGTCTGTCGCCGCCGCCGTCGACCCTCGCTCGCCGCCGCCCTGCGCCTTCTTCTTTCGTCGTCGTCGTCGTCAGCGCTGCTGCTGATCTGCCCGTCGATCGATCGTCGACCCCCCGCTACCCTCCCGCCTGCGGCTCGCCTCCTCCTCCTCCTCCTCCTCCGCTTCCTCCAATTCCATTTCCATCTCCGCAACCGTTTTGGTTCAGTGTGTACCGACGCGGGCTGTTGCGGCCCTTCAGAACGAACATAACGTGTGGACTCGTCGACTGGCAGTGGGAGTTACGCCAGTCATGCCCGCTAAGGCGGCCAAGCGTGAGCAGAAGGGGGCTGCCTCGGCCCCCCCGCCCATGAAAAGGGCAAAGGCGAAGGCTAAGCAGCCGGAGTCTGACCCTGCTGGTTCGGCAGGAGGTGCGCAGCCGGAGGCGCCGCCGGAGACCAACCAAGTCGTGGGCCCGACGCTGGACATCATCACCGATGCTTTGAACGCCATCAAGGGGTCGCCATTCTTCGCCGACCTCGAGAAGAAAATGCCGCTGACCATCGCCCAGGGCGGTCGCCAGGCGCCGTTCGTGAAGGAGGATTGTTCTGATGCCCTCAGCCGCGGATCCCCCTACTCATGTGGGTGCAACCTCTTCTGGCAGAACTTCTTCTGGAGCTCCAGCTACCGCACCCCTGTGAACATGGGGCAGGTCAGGGAGATCGTGAACTACCACCTTAAGAGCCCGCCAAATGTCTTCCCCATGAACACCGTCTTCGCGGTGGACAGCTCGGACATGGACGTCACTAAGCACCTGGGCAGTTTGCGGCGCCTCTCACCAATCGAGCCGCAGCTGGCCTTGCTCATGGCCATCGCTGACGCGGTAAAGCAGCAGGCGGAGGACTCCATCCTGTCAAAGTGGATGCAGGTCGTGCTTTCGGCGCCAGTGACGTTCGAGGTGGTGTTGCCAGGTGACCTGCGGTATTGGCGCGCCCAGAACATTCGGCAGGAGTGGATCGAGCATGGGGAGACAGCCCAACTCACCGTGAGGCAATGGGTGTACGACATCGTCGGGTTCAAGGCGGCGAAGGAAAAAGAGCTGGAGAAAACGTTGGGCGCCAAGGACGTCAGCGAGCTCTACGAGAAGAAGATGAAGTATGCGCGGTCTACTGAAAAAGTGAAACCAACCTTCGTGGATAACGCAATCACAGTCCACAAGCGGTTGCTGTCCCTGGAGGCGTCCAATCGGTGCCTTGTCTGGGCGGACGAGAACCTGATGAACAAGTCCCCGTGGAATAGCCTCTACGCGATGCACGCTGTGGTCGAGCGCGCGTCGACCCCCAACAAGATCGATTGGGCGATGATGGGCCTCACGGATCATTACCGCATGGCGCCCCGGGGGTTGTTCTGAACACCCATCGCTGCTCGCGCCAGCCCGTCGACGACGCGTCGTCGTCGTCGGCGGGACGGCGCGAATCAGCGTTGGGGGGGGGTCAGAACCACCAGGACTTCATCAACTTAGGCGAGTTCGGTGTCAGCAAGCTCAGGGACTACAGGCAGAGCTACGTTGAAATCTTGAACATGAAATACGACGTGAAGAACGAGCTCTTGTTCAAGTGGCTTCCGCGCACTGGCATCCCAACCGAACACGTCACAGTGATGCAAGAGAAGATGAATACCTTCGACGCGGTGCGGACGTACGTCAGTTCCTACCCAGGGGGGGTAGTCGATACCACGTGGCAGGCTCTGATTAGTGTTGGTGGCAAGCAGTCGGCTGAGGGTTGGGCAGTAGGAGAATGAGTAGGCTGGCCAAGGAATTGGTAGGGATACAGGATCACGGCGCCACGAGTCGTGTATGTCCCTCGGGCTGTGCGGAGATGGGGGCCGTCGGTTTCGGATGTCACGATCCCTCTGAGGATAAAATTAACTATTCATCGAGGAGTTGGTGTACACAACCGAGTTCGACTCTCGCTACAGGAACGCCGTCCAGTCGAAGCTCGAGGCGGCGGATTTTCTCGCCTACGAATCGATCTCCACGCGCATGAACGAAGTCATCGAGATGGTGCGGAGGGAGAACAATGGGGGGCATGGTACTACTGACACGCCGGCCGCGGCTGGAAGTGGCACGGGCACCCCTGCAGCTGCCGGGGCTGACAACCCTGCGGGGCAGATGACCGCAGTGGCGGGCGACAGGCCCGCGGATTTGCAAAACTTCGACAAGCTGCCAGAGATGGACAAAACGAGTTGGAACAAATTCATCGACAAGCTCATTCGCACGTACGTTCAGATCGTGCCCGACCAGAAAACGGCGGCCGAGCTGGAGACCATGCTCCGGGACTCCGCGCTCGCCACCATCAAGGGTGACCCCACGGGGCTGGTGCTATACCACTTCGACGTGAAGCAGTTCGGCGAGCCGCTCACCAGGCCTGAGCTGCGCATTGCGCCCCTCAGGGATGGCCCGTACCACCGCCTCGTGCGGACGATGCTGAACGCGAGGGCGCCTCAGGGGCAACTAGCCCATCTCCGCAATGGGGAGGTCGCAGTGATTTTGGACGGCGGGCGGAGGGGCAACGCGACCAAGTTGCTCGGGCCGTGGAAGGAGAACACCATCGAGACGAAGAAGGATACACCGCCGAGCAAGGGGCGCGGCTGCGATGAGCCCGACGATGACGATGATAAGGAGGATGACGACAACAGCGACGCTGAGAAGAAGGCCGGCTTCAAAGCTTCGATCATCCAGCTCGCGTACACGGAGGAGAGCCTCAAGAAGCGCCGCAACAGGGTTCACGGAGGCACGGGGAGCTTGCAGCAGGTAGAGTGGGTGCACATGTTGGCGCACTCGCGCATTTCGGCCCCTGAGCGGCGCCGCAAGCACTTCGAGGGCAGCACCGCGGGGGATCTGATCAACGGCATCGAGCTCCCAGAGTTGAGCAAGGAATGGCACGTGACGTGGAAAGACAAAAAGGCAATATACGGGAAGCGCAATCTGATTGCGGTGGGGGGCAAAACAGAGGGCATTCAAGGCGAGGCCGAGCGGAAAACCGACTCTACCGTTGTCCCCATTTCCTACCACGGCATGCCGCTTGTCTTCTACAAAGAGCTGCTGCACATGTTCTTTGTCAAATGCGTCCTCGACATGACCCCGCTCAACGCGAAATTCGCGTGGGCTTGTCTCGAGGAGAGGGTCGCATACGTCGGGGTGGCCTTCGCGAAAGAACACATGGAGAAAATCTACCTCCACCTGGCGGAGCTCGTGAAGAGCGCGATGGCGGATCCTGGGTCCAAGCTGTTCAACAAGGAGTACGCGAACGCTGTCGGCAAGGAGGTGGCGCCGACGCCGAAGGTACAGCCAGGGCCGAAGCGCCGCAGCCGCCGCAACACCGGCGCCGCCGCGGCAGCGGAGGCCGACGCCGGCGCGGGGGAGGGCGGCGGCGGCGATGGTGGTGACCAGCAGGAGGGCGGCGGCGGCGGCGGCGGTGGTTGCCAGAGCGGCGGCTTTGCCGGAGGAGATGATGGGTTCGACGACGATCCCGCGGCAGAAGGGCTGCCTGGCGCTGACGAGGAGCTCTGGGACCCTTTGCAGGAGGATTAGAGCTGAGGTGCAGTCAACCTGCGAGGACGAGTCATGCGATCATGATGATTGAGAGCAGCCATTACCGTAGTAGTCATCGGCCCAATCAGATGTCCCTGTTTGAAGTTCAGAACCCCATCCCCCGCAATGATGATGAGGATTATGATGATGATGCGTGAGTTTATCGGTTTACCCAAGCTTTGGGACGATGGCATTTTTGTAGCTGCGTGCGTTGCGTTTGTTGTAGAATAATACCGTCTAAGCTGACATAGGTTTCTGGCAGCATTTGCGCGCGTTTTTTAGCATCGCTGATTCGGCGGGCGCGCCGGGCAGGCTGTTTCGGCTAGCCCCAGGCCCCTTCTGTCCTCGCCAGCGCATCCCACCATGACGGATGGCATTGCAAAAAAACATGCATGGCTTCCGCCGCCCGCCTTGGCTCACTCATGCCCTCGAGCTTCCATGTATTGTGCTTTTCCAATCGGAATGTTCGCGCGGCTTTGGACGTGATTGGAGTTGGACTCGGCGCTGGATTTGAAAGAGGCACTTAAAGCACACAGGATAGCCGTGACAACCTCCTCCTCATCATCCTCTTCCTCCTCCTCCTCCTCCTATCCCCTCCTCCCCCCCCCCTCCTTATAGCTTCGAAAACGCCCGAACACTTTACTGCAACAGATGATGCTCGCAAACACGCCCAGACACTTTACTGCAACAGATGGCGCTCACTATGCGTAGAGGTTCTGTTTCGAGTATTGGTCAAGGCCTTTGGGCTCCGCCGCCTGCGCCACCGCCGCCGCAGCTCGCTGCCGACCTCGAGCTGCGGTAGGAGAGGTCTGTCGGGCAATTCGCCGACGGCAGCGAGCTGCGGCAGGGGCTGGCGGCCCCTGCCGCAGCTCACTGCCGACCTCGAGCTGCGGTAGGAGAGGTCTGTCGGGCAATGCGCCGACGGCAGCGAGCTGCGGTAGGGGCCCGCGGCCCCTACCAGAGCTCACTGCCGACCTCGAGCTGCGGTAGGAGAGGTCTGTCGGGCAACTTCCTGAGCGGCAGCTGCAGCTCACTGCCTCCTCGAGCGTGCACGGTAGGGGGCCCCGCTGTCGGTTCAGCGCGAGTCGCCGACGCAGCGAGCTGCGGTCGGGGCCGGCGGCCCGTATCGCAGCTCACTGCCGACCTCGAGGCTGCGGTAGGAGAACTCTGAGAAGCCCCCTGTCGCGCGAGTCGCCGATGATGATGGGGGGTGGGGGGGGGGGGGGAGGAGGGGGTGCGAGTGAATGGCGGGCCCGTCGTCGCTCGCGGCCGACGCTCGCGTTCGTGGCCGCGGGAGCTGCGCAAGGAGCTTACTAACAGTCGTCTCTGATCGCAGCTCCCTGTCGCCAGGGAGCTGCGGTAACCAATGTTCGGGAGCATGTTGCGAGACGTCTGTTCGGGGGCCCCCGAACAGACGTCTCGCAACATGCTCCCGAACATTGGTTACCGCAGCTCCCTGGCGACAGGGAGCTGCGATTAGAGACGACTGTTAGTAAGCTCCTTGCGCAGCTCCCGCGGCAACGAACGCGCGCGTCGGCCACGAGCGACTCGTGCCACGAGCGACGACGGGCCCGCCCCATTTCATTCGCACCCCCTCCCTTCCCCCCCCCCCCACCCCAGCATCGTTCATCGGCGACTCGCGCGACAGGGGGCGTCTCAGTCAGAGTTATCCTACCGCCGCTCGAGGTCGGCAGTGAGCAGCGGTAGTAGGGGCCGCCGGCCCCTACCGCAGCTCGCTGCCGTCGGCGAATTGCCCGACGGACCTCTCCTACCGCAGCTCGAGGTCGGCAGCGAGCTGCGGTGCCCTCGGCGACTTGCCCGACAGACCTCTCCTACCGCAGCTCGAGGTCGGCAGTGAGCTGCGGTGGCGGTGGTGCAGACGGACCACCCCCGCTACCGCAGCTCGCTGCCGTCGGCGAATTGCCCGACAGACCTCTCCCACCGCAGCTCGAGGTCGGCAGCGAGCTGTGGCGGTGGCTACCGCAGCTCGCTGCCGTCGGCGAATTGCGCGACAGACCTTTCCTACCGCAGCTCGAGGTCGGCAGTGAGCTGCGGCGGCGGTGGTGCAGGCGGCGGCGACAGTGGCGGGGTGCCAGCGGATGCGTTCGGGCGCGGCGTTGGTAGTGGGAGGGGGGCCTTCATCATCACTGGGTGCTTGGCAGGTGGGCTGGGGGGAGGAGGGGCCGAATGCATTCGCAAGGCCCCCAGCAACGAGGCCGCGTGTTCTGGACTTCTGATGTGGTTATCGGGCCCCCCAGCGGGGCCGCATCAGAGGGCTCATCCAAGACATATAGGATGGATTGGCGTTCCGCCATCTGCCGTGTCATGCCTGCAGTTCGCGCGGGGGCCGCGTTGTTGGGGGGCGACGGCGGGGGGATCATAAGTTACGGCGTTCCGAAATCTACCGCGTTGGTTCCCCCTCAGTGGAGTTGACAAATTGCACAGCGAGCCGCGTGGCTCGTTCCTCAGGGGCTTTCGTTTTACAAGGGGCTCCGGTGGTCTGACTGGCGGTCCCGACGGCGCTTGCGACGCCGAAGAGGAAGCAGATGCGTTCTTACTTACTACAGACATGTCATTCCAATGTGCTCTGGAAACATTGTTCCGGAGCACTTTAAAGTGACCCCCCCAGCAGAGGGCGACGAACTAAGGTTTGATTCATCTGCAGCTGTTTCGGCCAGAAGCAATAATACTACATACACAATCGTGTCTTCTCTTCCTGCCCGCCTGTTCCCCCCGCGCGATTCCCCGCGTCGCCGACATGGGGAAGACGACAGTCAATGCTGGGGTGAAGAATACTGCTGGCGGGCAGCCGAGGCAGCCGCGGCGCCCGAAGGTCCTGAAGTTGGGATCTGATTTCTCGGGCGTCGAGACGGCGTCCGTGGCCATGAAGCGCATGGGCATCAGTCATTCCCTCGAGTTCGTGAGCGAGTCTGATTCGGCGTGCATGTCAGTCATCAAGAAGAACCACCAGCCGGCGCACGCGTTCTCGAACATACTGGAGCGCACGGCCGCGGAGGAGACTTACGCCGACGTGTACGTGTGGACCCCTCCTTGCCAAGACTTCTCTGCTGGCGGCAAACAGGAGGGCGTCAGCGGCGAGCGCCGCACGGGGGACCTGATCAAGAAGAGCATGCAGTTCATAAAGAACAAACGGCCCCGCCTGACCATCTTCGAGAACGTCCCGACCCTCATGACCAAAAAGTTCGCCCGCATCCTCAAGGGCATCGAGGAAGCGCAGAAGAAGCTTGGCTACGTCGTTCACGTGAAGAAGCTGAACAGCAAGGACTTTGGAGTTCCCCAGTCGAGGGAGCGCGTCTATGTTGTCGGCGTGCGGCAGGACAGCGAGATGCATCCGTTCACGTGGCCGCAGAAGCAGGCGACGCCTCCAGCGACTTCCATCCTGGAGCCCAAGCGTGCGACCGACGTGGCAGGTCGGCTCCCCAGCAGCAAGCGCAGCCGGGACCTGTGCAAGGCCGCCTACAAGAAAGTCTGCAAGAAGAAGACGGGGGTGGACCCGCGCGTGACCCCAGTGATGGTCGACATCGACTGCTCCGAGAGGTTCGCCACGCTCGGGATCAACATCGCCAGGACCCTCACCAAAACCCGTGGCCAGAACGG